TTAATACTCAGAACCAGAAATTAATCAAAATATTGAAATGGCGGTCTATTTCCACCTGCACTCATCTGCCCGGAGTCCAACAGTACCAGATGTAAAGTCACCCACAATTCCAGGAAACCCCCAGAGGCAGAGCAAAAATTACAGCACATATTGCCAGCTTATACAACTTCCTAGATAACACAAGCAATGCTTTTCACAGAACTGGAATACCATTTCAAAACCAGCAGTTATCCCATTACAGTAATAATATGTTTTTACAGGGGAGTTTCCGCACATGGTTCTCAGCAAAAGGATGTGTTTGAATAGGACGAGTATTTTCAAAGCTATTCCCAACGCGTGGGTTTATCTGATCCCAGTGCAGTTGTATGGATTCCCAATAGCAGCAAGATTGGGAAGCAATGGACATCGTTTTCAGTCAAAAGCCTCATTCAGACCAAGACTCTTTTAGAGCAGAAATAGCTTTAACCTGTGGCATCAGGCTACTAGGTTTTGTGTCGAGTGAACCTCTTTCCTCCTGTTTAATCCAAATTCTGTTTTGAGAGAGAGAGAGAAAAAGAGAGAGAGAGAGAAAGAGAGAGAGAGAGGGGGGGGGGTTTAAAAAATGTTATAACAGAAAATCCAGAAAACCTAGCTTGCAATGTAAAAATGATCAAAATGAAGACTCAAAAATCCTGAAATCGGGCATATAAGGAGAGAAGAGAGAGAAAGGGGGGGGGGGGCTGTACACATGAGAACATCTTGCAACAACTACATTTTCCATCTAAATTCTACTGCAACAAGATCAACTATTCGTTAAACATGATAACATGGTGATAACATCAACATGATCATCAGCTCCTCTGGTAATCAAAGCCCGTGAACATCAATGATGTGAAAAATATTACAACAGCGCACTTGATCCAGGTACTGTTACAATCACCAATAAATCACTGTGCATCTACAGTCTTGCCAGGGATTTTCATTAAAACGGAGTATCAAGGCATCAAATTATGATTTATCCCATAAAAAAGAGACATCAATTTGCCTAGAAAACATGCTAGAATCACTGAAGGAAGATGAGCCTTATGGCAATCTGGCTTTAGATATTGAAAAAATGTGGCGAGGGTGCATTCGACACACTTTAAGTATATATTGCAGACAAAAATGGTGATAGGTAAATATTGCGATCAACATTATTGTAGATATAAATAAAAAGAAAAAAATCGTCTTGCATGTTCCATTAAACTACAGTGATTTTCTAAAAAAAGAGTACAAGCAGTGTTAGAAATTAACTCTGGACCGTCTGCCCAGGGTCGGCAACTTTCAGAAAGGGCCGAGAAGTTTTCCCACCCAGGAGACATTCAGTCCAGCTACTTTTCAAGGTGGCTGGACCTTTGGTCCAGCAACTAATTTTTCTAAGAGGCAAACATGAATGGTTCAAACAATGATTTAGTTTCATTAAATCTGTTTTCTAAATTGTAATAAAAGGTTGATTAATGTTCACATATATGCAAACCACTATGTTATTGATTAAAACATAATAATATTCAATTTGATCTCAATTCAATGTAAAAATATTGGCATTTGTAGTGATGAATGTCTGGTCCCCCCCCCCCCCCCTCACTCGCCTTAAATTAAAATCAAAGTATTCCATGCACCCTGTCTAAGGATTCAATCTCTTCCTAACAAAGTCATCAAGAACATCAGCAGTCAGTTGTTACTAGACAGACTTAATGACTGAGCTTAACTCCAGACAAACCTATTAACACCACCAAGACAAACTGCCTCTTAACATGCAACCAAACTGGTGATGGATCTTCCTAGCTTGTAGCTACCTGTGGCCAGTGTCTTGACAGAATATAACCAATTATTAGTTCTCTCAGGCTGTGATGTTTGTCTCTGTCTTTCTTAATTTCTCTTTTGTGGTTCTCTCCGCCCTTCAGTTCTATCTAATAACTCAAGCTTGGTGAACTAAAGGGGTTAAGAGAAAATACCCCCAGGCCCTCCCTCCCCTTGAAATATGTCAGCATCAAAATTGTAACTGTGGCCTTACTGAAAAGGAACCCCCCAGTCAAGTTAGGTTTACCTTATACAGTACTTGTTAACTTCAGCAAGCATTCTGATAAATTATAAATATAAGCTCATGATGATTGGCTCAAAGTGGGGAGTTCTTCTATCAGCAAGCAAATTACTTCAATAGCAGTGGCACTGGGCAGGACAACAGTCAGATTAGATTTCATGTCCATGGAGAACTAATCGTAGCCCGATGTCCATGGAGAACTAATTGTAGCCCAATGTTTTGCAATTGCAAGTCACACAGAGATAGGTGGGGCAAAGTTGGATGGTAACACGACTTTCTCTAATTTATTAACAGGGCCTTAATATGTCACCAAGTCTGCTGTTTTCACTGCAAGGCAGGTGCCTCAGTGCAGGACAGGTAAACAGTAGCAAACTAATGCAATACCTGTAGAATACCTGTCTGCATTATAAGGAACAAATAGAAGGAGGTACTAGTACTAGTACATATATCAGTTTTGGTATGTTTTAATGTGCCATTTTATTGGTGCTTGTCCTACGAACTTCTTAAGAGACCATTACAAACTCAGCACAGAAAGATTTGATGCAGAAACTTCTTTTCTCTTTGAATTAAAAATTAACTCAAAACTAAGGTGCTGGTTATCACCCATCTTCAGTTTTTTTTTCTTATAGTTAAGGCAGCAATTTTAAAAGCAAATGATCAAACATTCTTATTATCATATTCTTAAAGGAGGACAAAATATAAGATACCTCAAATGGTCACATGAATACTTCCAAATGTTTGTGCCATAATCATCAAAAAGAAGAAAAAAAAATTCCAGACAAATTTACTAAACATCCTGTACAACAATTTAGTAACCAAGCCCACCATGAAGAATATCTCATAAAAGTCCTCTGGCATGTTTTCCAGACAACTAAAGTGCAGCAAGCACCTGCTTCTCATCTTAGTATCAAATAAGTCAAGGTAATAGGGAATGTCATGCAATTCGACAATCTAAGTACTTTAACTGATCAATAATGTATTTTCTTTTAGGACGCAAAAGCGGGAAGGTGAAACGGAGAAATCTGGTGCAATTTGTGTTAAAATCCTGGTACAGAGCAAGACAACTTATACAGGTTGTGTTCAGGTGGCACATGAATGAGTTGTCTCATTCTCTCTCATATTCTGGAACATAGTTTGCATTCTGTATCAATTCAACATAAAACAATACCATCAAATGTTCAACAAAGTTTTTGTGTTAGATACAAAGGAAAACAGGCGTGTTTTTGTGTGTGTGCACCATAGTGTGTATGGTGCAAGTGTACAACAAAGTGCTTAAAGGGATAATAACTCTTCGTTTTGGCCAAAAAATGAATTTTCCTGGAGTAAACAACAATTTTCCCATACTTACCAATGGTTAATGAATCCATTTTTACATTCAAAGTTAGTCCCTGGTTTTTTTCTAAAAAGTTTGGTTTTTTGTTAAAATCTCTTAAGAGATTTTAACAGAGTATAGCCATCAGTGGAGGTCACGTGGTCTTAAGAAAAGCTCAGGTATCAGAATTATAGCTTTAACTGCCGTTTTTATGGTAAAACAGAATATATTATATTTCTATGAGTTATTCACAATGTTTTTATTGTGAAATATAGATCTCATACGAAGAGTTATTATCCCTTTAAGCTTACCACACTGACTGCGCCTTAGCTAGAATTCCCGCTGAGATAGATCAATCCTGCTAGTACGATAAGGTTATGGGAACGCAGTCTAAGGAAATTGGACGCTACAGCTAATGGACTGGCCTATGACACAGCCGTTAAAGCATAATATATTTCTTACACATTGAATAGGCCTATATGGTGTAAATGACCCGCCTTCAGACTCGGCTGCACAGGCCTTATAAATAATCCTCTAGCTCTATATCACTATAATCTTGTTGAAAACAGTAGCAACAAACAAAATATCAGATATCTGTTCTTGTCACAATAGCGTGAATTTCTTTTCAAGCAACATTATAAAGGAAGGTCGTGAAGAGGTGCGCTGCCTTTACTGTAGTGAAGCTATATGTAAGAGGCTATGGTGGATAAGCTTGCTACACGCTAATTAAAAAGTTTGTATTATTTTTATGTACAGCCACAGCGTGTCTGTGTACAAGTAGCCATCACGTGCGTCTGTCATTGCCGTCGACGTAACCGTGTACTTTCAGACCTAGTACGCGTACGATAAATGGAAAACCGGTTGACATATTGTCTTCAAGTGTGTTGAATATGATCAAAATACAGGCCGAGTTTGAATACGAGCCTGTCTGGATTATTATTCCTAAAGCTCTGCTTTTTTTTTTTTTTTTTTTTTGCGAAATGTTCTTTTTTAAAATATTAGCAGTTTATAGGTGTGGACTTGAACCTCTGTGAGCCTGAAGCCCTTTGCTATTTAAATTTTCTGAATATCCACGTTACCTGTAAAACACACTTAAATGTTGGTGGTGATCATGTAAAATAGAGAGGGTGCAGTGTTATTTGAAAAAATCCACTACATTTTGACAGTTAAAGTTAATGACACATATCTTCAATTAGGGCCTGAATACTGGTTGCTGCTGCCCATACACCGGTTTGAATATATTTGGAATATTGCTGAGCTGAGCACTGAAACGAAGATGGATTTATACTTCCAATGGACCAATACGTTAGATGCACTACAAACCGACCGATTTAAAAGCTTTCTCAGAATTCTGTATATCAATATTTCAACGCGCTGAAGTTATATTTAATATATGTGTAGCCTAGATATATGTGGATAACAGTTGTAAATTAGAAACACGTACAGCACTGATTTTCATCGGTAGTTAATTTGGCATTATGGTAGACTACTGTGCTAATAGAAAGCTATTTTGGTTCAGTTGCTTACGTGATTATAAGATTCATCAACGATCAAGTTGACAACAGCGCTTGTACTTGGTAACTTTTACTTAGGAGTTAACAATGTGTTCTTATTTCAGATTCTTCTGAGTGACTTGCTTCCTCTTGTAAACACCACGTGGCGAAAATGGCGTCTGCCTGGTGCGGTGCACTCTGGGACAAACTCAACCGGAAGAAGACACTTGAGAAAGATCTGCTGCAGACTCCTCTTCACCGTTGTCTAAGCACTCAGCACCTGGCCCTCATAGGCATAGGGCAGATGGTTGGAGCTGGAGTGTTTGTCCTCACTGGGACAGTGATAAAGGACAAAGCAGGTCCGGGTGCCATCTTGTCTTATCTCTTTGCCGGCATTGCGGCCTTGTTGTCTTCGCTTTGTTATGCTGAATTTGGTGCTAGAGTTCCCAAAGCAGGGTCAGCCTATGTGTATACTTACATCACGATAGGAGAGTTCTGGGCGTTTCTCGTGGGTTGGAACATTATTTTAGAATACATAGTTGGAGCAGCGGCAATAGCACGCGCTTTGAGCGGTTCCATAGACGCGCTGGCAAATAACACGATGAGCAGCGCTCTTGAAGAACATTTGAGTTTGCCGGGACAATTCCTAAGTCAGTACCCAGATTTTCTTTCATTTGCCTTTGTAATGTCTGTAGCAGTGATTGTTGCGTTGGGCGCAAAACTTTCTGCTAACATAACAAGCGTTTTCACTGTCATCAACGTAACTGTCATAGTGTCGGTGGCAATCCTTGGATTTATTTATGCGGACCCCACAACCTGGGATAGCGGGTTTCTCCCATACGGCTTTCAGGGAGTTCTTGGAGGAGCGGCATCCTGCTTTTTCGCATTCATCGGATTCGACGGAATTTCGATCGCTGGTGAAGAAGCTGAATCGCCGGGAAGGTCAATCCCGGTTGCGACCATTTCGGCGATGATTGTCACGACAGTGCTCTACATATTTGTGACAACTTCTGTCAGTTTTCTTGTTCCTTATTATGACATTTCTGCCAGCGCCCCGTTCCCGGCAGCCTTTGCGGCGCGCGGTATCCACTGGGCAAAATACGTCGTCGGTGCAGCGACAGTTGTTGCAATTTTTACGGCACTTTTGGGGAACATGTACATGCTTCCTAGGACGATCTACGCCATTGCATCTGATGGGTTATTGTTTAGAATATTTGCCAAAGTAAATGATCGTACACAGACGCCAGTGATCGCCAACTTTGTGTTCAGTCTCGTAGCTGCTCTGATGGCCCTGTTACTTGACATGGAGACGTTGGTTGACTTTCTGTCCATCGGAACTCTGATGGCCTATACGATGGTGGCGGCATCTGTCATCCTTCTCCGTTACCAGCCCATCTCAGAGTGTCAGTTTGAGCTGCACCCAGATCCTACAGATAGCGCCACCGATTCTGCAGGCAACATGGCGGCAACCGAAAATGGCAGCAGTAGTGAGAGCAAACCATTGCACCATTCATACAGCCATGACGATTTTGGCAAACTAAAGAAATTATTTCGCGCTCTTCCGGTGTTACGGCACTGCAGCCCCGGCACCGCAGTGGCTACGTCCACGATTATCATGGCAGCGTTCATGGCAGCGTTGTGTAGCTTGGCTTTATACGCCACGGAGAGTATATTACGAGCAGAATGGTGGACAATAGTTTTACTTGTAATACTTATTTTGGGGACAGTCTTCTCATTCTTGGTGATCGTTGCACATGTTCAGAATACAGCGTTCAAGACGTTCCAGGTGAGTGATTTTTGTTCTGACAATAAGGGCGCTGCTGTGACGCATTTTTTCAATTTAGCGTCATGGTGGGGGTGGAAGATGGACGGAGGGGAGTGTGGGTGGAGGCAAGCACTATATTTTAGGACAAATTCCCCTTAAATGCTGAAGTAACTTATCTTGAGAAAGGCTGGGGACCCATATTAAAGCGAGCGTGTTGCAAAGCTTTTATTTATTTATTTATTTATTATCATTATTATCTGTGGTTTAGTACAGACCAATAAAACTATTGATTCGATGAGGCATGTCAGCTTTGGGGAAATGCACTGTCATATATAGGTATTAAGTCAAAATTGTTGAATAATTACGACTATGTCATATGTTTGTGAGGTATTCCCAGTCCAGTTAATGACGGAATATTAATGCCGTGATGCCATGACAATTTTGTTGTTACAGATTCCACTGGTACCTCTGCTTCCTGCCACCAGCATGTTTATAAACATCGCAATGATGCTGAAACTAACCTATCTGACGTGGATCCGACTGGCTATATGGATTGCAGTAGGTGAGAAACGGAGCACAATTTACATTAGATTCTGTTCACTGTCTTTGCTTTCCTCGGGTGACGATTTGTTGTACGGGATCAGCCGAGGATGCGATTGCAGCCAACTTTCTCGGGTGTTACCCGATTGCAATAGATGAAATGGAGACAGCAAGTTCCCCCTCCACTTAACAACCACAATATCTTGGTTCATGAATTACCCCTGCGAAAATTTGTCTCATTTAGCGCTCACTTACGGTTCTCAATCTGTCCTAGAACATGTTGTTCTCTTTTAATGAAAAATGTTCTTAATCTGTTCTAGGACATTCTGAAGGACTTCCCAAAAACAATTCATTATAGAACATCATTAGAACTGTAAAAAAATACACCAAACATTCTAGAATAGATTGAGAACCGTAAGTGAACGTTAATGAGACAAATTTTCGCAGGGGTAGTTTATGATGTTACGTTGTCTTATGACTTGAAGTAAAGCTATACATGGTGCGTATGTTACACCTACCCCAATAATGATAACATTGATTATTAAAATTGAATTCACTTGTACATGATTAGCGTCCACAAGACACACACGATTTCAGTACCCAAGGTTTAATGTCCTTATGTGTCCCCAAAACTTCCTAACATGTAGAAATTGGACACTTAATATTGGTTCATCTGATCAATTTATAAAATAATTGCAAACGGCGAAATTAAATCTGCAAAGTTATCTCTTCGTAGGTTGCACCAGTAAGAAAGAGGCATTTGATCAATAAAGACCTTTATTCAGAAAAACAGACAATGGTCATCTCTCTTTATTGGAAGGGGCGGTAAACACATATAAAGGTCATTGAAAATTTGAGGGTTCCATTGGGTTCGCTTGTTACCCGTGAAAGCCACTATTTATTTCCCAAGGTGATTGAAACGTTCATTTTATTTAGCGTGAGCCGTGAAGCACCCCATTCCCGTGACTCGTAAATGCGGATTTTAATATTCTCCCGTCGCGAAAGGAAGTCATCATACCCCGTGATTCGTGATTTTCAGGGTTTGCAACTCGCATTATCAGTAAGATACGAATAAAGTTTTATTAACTGTGATATATGAATTGATGATTTTATTTCCCTTAAACTGACAACTATCCCCCTCATGGGACGCTCAAATATTAAAAGTGTCACCCCTAACGCAATGCGTAAAGTAATACAAAAAATAATTTCACGAACCATTGTTCCTAATTCAAGTTCTAAAATAAAGTTTTCACAAAAATTTACTGTGAATAAGCTAAGCATAGCAAAAAAAAAAAAAATAAATAAATAAATAAATAAATTAAAAAAATAAATAAATAAATAAATAAAAGCCACATTTTATTCTTTTGTATAGTGTATTCTGGATTGGAAGACGCCTCTGACGCGTCTGTGCGTGGCGTCAAAAAGTTCTGTAACGTTTGTAAAGAGATGACGTTTAACATACGGAATCTTGTTTTAATAACGTTTAATAATGTTATCAGTGTAATTGTGACATCAGTTCTTTAATAGAATTCACCTAATTCAGCAAACAAAAATACATGGCTGATTCTTAGTCAAACTCCAACCATTACAAGCATTATTTCGATCTCTATATTTTTCAAATTATCATCTGTGAAAGAGTTAAACGCTCCACAAAAGACCTTCATAGCAGTGTCTAGTCACAGCAACGGTCAGTGGTGTGTCTTGCTTCAGCTGGCCGCTATTAGGGCTCAAAAGCGGCAAGATATTCCGTCTGACAGGTTTTTTTTTTGAGTTTGAACTGGTAATACTTGGATGCAAAATATCAAAATCTTCTGTAGGGGCGTTGCCGAAATATTTAATTAAGACTATTTTTGACCGAACCACGCCCTGCTATAGTCATACTTGGCCCAGCCCAAAGAGTAGATGTACTACCCAAAGAAATCACCACATATTACGTAATACAGCGGTGTATCAGACAAGACAGTCAGTTAATTGTTAGTGATACATCCGACTACACACACATTTATGTATTCTCATAATTCACAGGAAATACACGTTTTAGTAATAAATAATATATTTTTTCCTAGACATACCTTTGAAATTAAAATATTCCATATTAAATGTCAGGTCTGTAGCAGGACAATACCAACTACACACAGAAAAGTGAAATAGTAATTTTAGACTAGAAAAGTAATTTTGCTATGTGACTCTATTTCAGCAGAATCAACCTAATCACTGTTATTTTTCTCTCCGTTTTTTAGGGCTTGTGGTGTACTTTGCGTATGGAATAAGAAACAGCGCAGAGAACCGCAGTCTTGCCTCCTATAACGCTTTAACTTCGTACGGAGGGGACGGTCAGCAGGCACCTGTTCTCCGCGGTGATGACGACGACGATGATGGTGATGGCGGCGCGGAGGAGGGTGGCGATGGAGACAAGTGGAAAAAATCTCAGGAGGAAAAACCCGAGTTCGAGTGAGGAATCGGGTTGCTGTCCACGAGATGTTCGTTCATTGCTTGTTGTAGGGTTCTTGCTGTTTGAAATGGCATCAAGCTTGTTCATGCGACGATCCACGCCGGTAGCCATAGAGGATAGAAATCCGGGGAGACCTACGTATAGAGGAACTTGAAGGTGAATGCGTATTGTAATGTTAAGTGTAGGCCAAATTACGTATAACTAAGTGTGCAATAGTTTGTGCTCCGAATCCGCTAATTTATTGTCATTTATCGTCAATGAGAAGCAAGAAGTAGCCGAGTCATAATGTCTGAGAGAGAGAGAGAGAGAGAGAGAGAGAGAGAGAGGGGACTGATTCATAGACAGTAATAGAGCCTGTCTGGTCCTTATATCTGAAGAAGGTTCGGTACTCTCAGTGACAATCATACTAGTAAGCAGTAAATGAAACAGAAGCCAGTGTATTTCTATAACTAGATATATGTACGCCCACTGCAGCGTCAGTTGTATTGCCACTATATAGAACTGATGCACATTAAGGAAGAACACTATCTAAAGATACTACACTACTGTCTTTCAAACCCCAAGTGTAAGTCGGGGATCCCTTAGCCGATGGTAATGGTAGGCCTATACCCGACAGGGGAATATATTGTGAGATGTTTTAACACTCATCCACTATTATGGTTTAAAATTGACAGACAATCAACCAACGCGATCGAAATATCAACAAGATTATTTTATTTTTTCAGAAAATAATTTCCCTAAAGATATGTACAGGAATGCAAACATCGAATGTGTAGTAATTATTCAATATACGTGAGTTGAAATTTAGATATTGTGTTACATGTATATAAGATGCAAAAAGAGCAGACGTGTATGGCCAAAAATTTAGAAAAATTCGCAGGAACATTTTTTGTTTTTAATTTATAGAAAAGTTTTAAGATAATACACGATGTGTGCAATGTGAAATCTCAACCAGGAGATGGTATAGGTTTTGTAAGTCAAGCAACAGTTTCCTTACACGTGTGAAGTATCACCAAGAATCTACCACCATGGGTGTTCAACCAAAATGGCTTATATTTACTCTTAAAGCCCAGATTACATTTACGCGGGCGCCATGCGATGAAATTGTCCGTACGATTTTTTTTATTTTTTGAAATCGTAAGGTGCTACGGGCTACGCCGAGTATGTCTACATTACATGGCCTTAAATCCGTACGATTCCGTTGCGATTTTGCACGGCCACCGTCTACCTCCGCTCAGACGCCGTACGAAAAGGGTATTACGGGCAGTATACGTGCACCGTACGGGCATCGCATTTCAAATGTAATCTAGGCTTAACCAGTAAAAACTCTTCTCAGACGACATATTTTGCGGTATCTTTGATCTTCAGTTATAAATCACAAGGAGGCAGAAGACGAAAGCCGAGTATTTCAGTATTTCAATTAAGATATAACTATCAAACTGGCTTTGTCATACCTATTTTGTTCAGGAGTACTTAAGCAGTGTTACTTCAATTAAGTTATTTGATATTTATTTATATGCAGATTTTTAAACGATGTTTTCTCACATCTTTGTGATTAATAGAGTGAAAACCACCTCAGATTTGGAAATGAGAGAAATAACTGGACTTTCATGAATGCTGAAATGGGTTTCTAGGGTTTGTCCTATTGTCGATTTTGACTATTTTGGTTGAACATTTCTGGTGACAGATTCTTCAAATGATCACAAATGTTATGTTCTTCTCTGTTTTAACTTTAGCCCACTAAGGAATAAATATGGTCGCACGGGGAGCTTTTTTTGACTACATGTAATACCACTTTTTAAGCCAACGGGCCAATGGAATACCTTGTAGCATGAAGCTATCTACAGTTACGCGCTCTTTGACTACAGTCTTCTGATGGACTGGCCAGTGCAACAGTTCTATTCTAAATCTAAGTTGAAATTGATGAGAACACCACGATAAGGATTAATCTATTGTAAAAGCGATGTAATGTATACTTTATTGACGTGTAAGCAAGATTTCCAAAAGTTTTCCAAGTCCCAAGCGCTTATATTTTATTTCATTTGCATTCAAATGAATGCTAGCTAAAACATTGTCAATAATTCTCTACTCTGCAAATCAATTCATACACGAATTTTAGAAACATCATGCGCTATCAATGGGACATATGTTGTTAATTCTTTTTATGTTTTACGTAATAAATGTCACAAAAACACATAAACGTTAATGCGTTTCCTTCAAATGAGTCCTGTTGTTGCTTCCGTGTCTTGTGTTGTCGATTGATGCGTCGACAGCAGAATAATGACCAGTTAATCCTGACTTCATCTTGCTACTACCGAATGCTCGCGAGGGGCTAATGTTTTAAGTGAAAGATGAGAGTTGGATGGACATCGGGAGTCTGCATTTACAGTCATGTTGTCACGGCCTTAACTTGGCACCGTCGTGTTATGAACTGTGTACTTAAGCGATAGTATCTGTTCCGGTACACTTTGAAAGGTCCTTATTGTAGTTGTGTACGAGTAGTTATGCTATAGAGGGTTTACTACCTTTTATAAGTTCTCTTCACATTTGCCTCCTGTTGCTTAAGCCCCCTTTACACTGGACGGCGTCCTTTCTGCGTCCAGCAGTACGGCCCCATTTGAGAGTTAAAAAATTATAATACTTTGCGTGCCGACAACTGGCCGATCATTGAGCATTCATTCTAATACAAAATCAATGCTCGTGCTTCCTTATTTAGACCACAGCGATGCCAAATTTCATGGTCGCAGAAAGGACGCCGTCAAGTGTAAAGGGGGTATTAGAAAATGTGTTGGACGTGTGGAAGTCGAGTCGAGGTTCCGTTCAGACGACTCTCTTACGTACAAGCCAAGCCATTGTTAAGCTGTCAGTCTTTCACAATGTACCGGTACAGACTGTGTCGCGAAAGTATACTGCTCGATGTGAAAAGGACCCAACTGCATGTATATACAGCTATCAGATCGTAATATCATGGTCTGTTGAGAGAATGTGTTACTAGGGTAAGTCGATTGGGCTGTCAATGAGCATATAAACACCACCTCCGCCAGAACCGATAATTGTAGAAGTTACTCATTTTTGTAACGGGAATAGATCTCCCAAAGAGGCCGGTGTGACAGGAATGGTACTCCGCTAGAAACTGTTCCGTTTCCCGTTACTTTGTACAGGTGACATTCTTTCGGTATTCTTGATCCGATAACCGGTGTAACGTGCCAGAGAGTCCCCCGTGACAGAGAATCCGCTTCCCGTTGGTTTGTACAGGTGAGCCTCGCCTGGATTTTGACCCACTTAGGTCAGGCTAACCCTAACCATTGTAACTATATGGAGGGCGGACTTTCTGGTACACGAACCTTAAGTTTTGTTACACCGGTACTAATCACATGGGACTCCCATCCTCAGGACTATCATTCCTATCAAACCGGATATTGTAATTATTTCCTTGATGCATTTTACAAAAGTCAACGTTCATTGTATCCAGTTCTAATGTTTGTGTCGACGTAAACTCAACGCCTTAACAAATTCCTTTCTGAATTCACTCGAAGCAAAATTATACAGAAAGGGATTGATGCTGCAGTTTGAGATCCCAAGCACTTGCAACAGAACAACAAACACTTTCAGGGCCTGTGGGGCGCAGCTTATATCCACGGCGTCTGTTGCCAGAAGTAAGAGCAAAATATGATTCGGCAAGTTGCAGAGAGCGAATACAGCAGTTATCACTATCACCATGACAACGACGTGTTGCGTTGCCCGCTTGCTGGAAGCTTGGATATGTGGTGAAGCCTTCCGCAGAGACAGCGCCATACGCTTGGTTTGGCCCTTCTGGACCTTCCATATGATTAACATGGAGAGAGTGGCCACAACAGCAAACGGTATGAAAAAATCAAATCCAACCACCAATACAATGTAAACGGCATACTGCCAGTTATACTCTGTGTTTATTATACAAGGTCCCCAGCGAACTCCCGAGTACAAAATTAACGGAATGTTGATTATTCCAGTGAACATCCATATAATTCCAGACACAATAGCAGCGTTTGTTTTAGGATGCAGGATGCTCCTAGAGCCAAGCGGCTTGGAGACAGCGATGTAACGAATCACACATATACACACTAAGGAGTATATGCTTACTCCCATCGTGACGTAGGTGAGATAGTAGAACAATTTACACGTCCACGACGGCAAGACGTATTCATTCTTAGTGGCGTACATGAGCACTTGGATGGGTACGCAGAAAATAAGGAACAGGAGATCCGCAGTGGCGAGGTTCAGGAATAGGATGTTCATCCGCCATAACTTTATGATGACGTATATCACTAGGATGTTGCCGACAAGTCCGACGACACTGACAAGGAGGATGATTATTGGGATTCCGATCCTAACAAATGGTAAACTATACACGGTAACTTCAAATAGTGTTCTGTTACTCATGTCGTCTGCTTCCTCCCCGCACCATGACGTCACATTGGTGAAGTTACCGTCCATTTTGATTTCAGCTGCTTTCCTGCAGATTGATATGAACAAATTTGGCAAGTACCATTGAAATTCTACATTAATAGCAACGGGATCTAAATCTGTGACAGGTCCATTAAAGTTGAAGCGCTGAAACCGTAACGCTGTATAAGAACATTTTCGAAATGGCAGACCAGGTTTTCAAGACAAGGCCCTTATTCCCCAAGAGCCTACCGACTGAGCAGCTGCCTTATGCCACAAAAGATATTGTAGAAAAGAGCGAATGTACGGGATACGGTGGCTTAATTAGCATTCTTCGCCAACAGATATATGTAAAATCTACCCTCACTTCTCAGTACATCATTGCCAGCCCTTTGCGCGTTTTTTTTTCACTCAAAGTTTCTGCAATACTACTTTGTACAGCGAGTATACAGCATCTTGCCGTGCAGACAACTTATGAGTTTAAGGTCTTCAGAACATTGCATAAGCCGCAAGAGCAGTTTTGTATAACGTCGGATATATGAGAACACGAAAATTGAATATATTTCCACTGTTCTAAAAGTAAAGAATACTGTGCACTGCATAACCAAGTTGAAACGTGAATTTGATTTATTGGTTTTTGGAATGAGATTAAATATGAAGCCTTCTCTATTTTAATCCGCTCTTGCTAGGCGCTGTTTCAGTCTATTCCCCTTGGATGGGTCTTTTCATTATGAGCATTCGTCACTCTTTGATTAAGACCGACACATTTTCTCTTCCAATGCTCTCAACGAGGATTTTTAGCGATTGTCAATTTTGAAACGCCTTTATTGGTCTTCACTGCGATCTGTTTTATAACAAAATATCCCTGATTCGAGTATCTTCACTTCGTTTCAATCCATTTTGTAGTAATCTTTTCAATAACCAATCATCAAGTCATTATTGCAGTAATCAGATAATCAGTGGTCATTCGCATTCAGCCGATCTCTGCTTGTCCTATGCTTCATTTGCACCGTTGAAACATGGTGTCTCCAGCCTAAAAAAATAATTGTAAATAGTAATTTGCTTATAAGATAATTGCTGCAGTATTGTTAAAAATGAAAAGCATGTTGTGTTTTTTCGTTGCAGAATATAACGGGTCACACAAAGCGTGATGTTATTATTCAGTGTTTGGCACAGTTTCTATATATTGAAATATATAGAAGGCTGGGCCAAACACTGAATTTTGTATAACCTACATATACATGCATATACACGTAATAGTATTTTTTTCGCTGAATAATTAAAATTTAAGATGGTATTATAATGATCGTGTTAACTGCGGCTGTAGGTTCGTTTTATTCTTATAACATATTCATCCTAGCATCTTGCATACTTTTTAGAAACATCAACAAGATAGACAAACGCGTCGTTGACAATTTGCCGTGCTTATTACACCGCCTCGCTCGTAAAATATTCATGAAGTTATGGCAAAATAATTGTTTGAAATAGGACGTTAAACTATTGAATGAACACAATTTGATTTCCGGCTGCAGTCACACGAAGCAGTGGCTGTACGTATCTAGACCACGCTGTACATTGCCATTTAGGCAAATCAATCGCCGAAATAATCTCTCCGACAGAGAGGGATATGTCAATAATGGTCAATTCCAGTTTCAATCAAACGGATGGCTTCCCGTCTTCT